AGGAATAGGGCAGGGATCATCCACCTGTACTGGGCACTGGTGAGGCTGCACCTCAAATCCTGTGTTCAGTTTTGGGCCCCTCACTGCAAGAAAGGCATTGAGGTGCTGGAGTGTGTCCAGAGAAGGGAATGGAGCTGGGAAAGGGTCTGGAGCACAAGTCCTGTGGAGAGCAGCTGAAGGAACTGGGGGTGTTCAGCCTGGAGAAGAGGAGGCTCAGGGGAGACCTTACCGCTCCCTACAACTCCCTGAAAGGAGGGTGCAGAGGGGTGGGTGTTGGTCTCTTCTCTCAAGTGACAAGTGATAGGGCAAGAGGAAATGGCCTCAAGTTGCACCAGGGGAGGTTTAGATTGGTTATTAGGAAAAATTTCTTCACAGAAAGGGCTGTCAGGCATCAGAAAGGGCTGCCCAGGGAAGTGGTGGAGTCACCATCCCTGGAGGTACTTAAAAGTTGTGTTTACAAGTTGGCGCTTAGGGACGTGGTTTAGTGGTGGACTTGGCAATGTTACATTAACAGTTGGACTTGATGATCTTAAATGTCCTTCCCAACTTAAACGATTCTGTGATTCCAAGTACTCTCCCCTCCCTGTCGTTTGTTTGTATCCTCTCCACATACTTACCCTGGTTCACTGGTCTTTCCAGTCAGATGATTTCTGGTAGGTATTAGCTCTGCTAATTCAGTAGTTCATCTAGAGTTTCTTGATTATTATTCCACTCCAGGTGGCCGTGTGGGCAGGCTTGTAACTGCTCTTTTTAGCACCATCCAATATAGAACAGTTTGTCTTTTTTATAGAAATACATCAAGGAGTGATTTAAACAAAACTTCCAGCAAACTCTTCACCAATTTGAAATCCCTCATAACAATTCCTGCCTGTTTGAAATCCAAAGCATAAACCCCGATGCAGCAGATTATTTCTTTAATAACTTTATCCCGAAATAGCAAGATAGCTTGTTTTTCAGAAACTCACCCTTTTCCATGAGGGATAGGTGGGTACGCCTTGGACATGGCCATTGCCTTGCTTCCTCACCGCTGAGGGGTTTCTTATTGCTTTTATTGGATTGTGATGCTAGCAGGTTTCCTCTTCAGAATGCTCGAAACAGCCCTGTCTGAAAAGAAAACCCCAAAATTAACAAGCACAAGATTACATCCTCTCGAAGACGGCTTCCCTGGAGGAGTTAGTCACCGTAAACCTGACAAGGTGTTACTGAAAGACCTTGGGAGCATTTCACTGAGTTTCTGGAGGCTGGTATAGTTTGACGCCCAGCATTCAAGAGATCTACTTCTGTCAGTGTCACCCACCCAAACTTTAGCCCTTACTGCCTCATTCCTTGTGGTGTTCCTTTTCTCCTACAGCAGCTCAGACTGCAGCAAGGAGGCCCCTGGCTACAGACCGGCTGTTTTTGTTGAGGAGAGTTCATTTTCCAATGTGCCATTTTGCACCCGAGAAGGGGGCTGGGCGATCCTCGCCTTCCTCTCATGTGACAGCTCATACACCTCGTGTTTATCTGTGCACGGCGTCGTAGAAATGGGGTGTGTGCAAGATGTGCGTGAGCCGATAGCGTGCCAGGGTACAATTTTATGGCTGAGGAAAGGTACTGGTTGAACATTTGCTTTGAATGTGCAGATACTTAAAAGGCGAAGGTTGCATTTTTTAGGGAATTTCAATAGCTCAAGATGTAGGGTTCAGAAAAACGGGGAAGTATAGGCAGAAAGCTTTAGGGGTGATTTTGAAAACCTCTTGAGCACTACATATGTTTCAAATGGGACCCTCCCCCTGATTTGGGGCTGACTTTTGAATCCAGGCTCTTAACAGGTTGAATGCAAAAAACAGCATTAGCACAACTTTGTATTGAGGATTAGCTGTCCAAGGTCATTTTTAGCCTGGAGAAATAAAGTTAAGCTTTATTTATATAAGACTGATTTGGAAAAAAAAAAAAAAAAGTTTCTTCCCACAGGATCGTTGGAAAGAGGCAAATTTAGAGAAGAATGCTTTCTTGGACAGCTTTGTGGCATTCGGAGGAGGGAAGCATCAGTGTCCAGGAAGGTCAGTGAAACAGCTGGGGTTTATTTATTCCCAAACTCTGCAGAGAACAACTCTCTTGAACTGGGCTCCTCTTACACTTGGAGATAAAGTGTTTTCATTGCTTTGCTCTTCGTCAGTTCCCTAATGTTCAGCATTATCTGGACCTTGTTTAAACTGATTTGAAAGCGGTTTCATTCCTAGAAAAAACAGGTTAAGTCATGATGTAAAAGCAGAATCTGAGAGCAGCATATCAAGGTATATCCCCCAGGGAGGAAAGTCAGCCTAGCACTGCTGCTGCTGAGGCACCTTTTCATCAAGGGAGAGTTGTTCCACTTACAAACATGCCATTCTACCGACACAGGCATTTAGGTTGCCATAAACCAGTTCAAAACGAAGATAAATGAAGCTAAGAGACTCTTTTTCCATCCTCCATGATGCCATTGACATCTTTGCTGATCTTCACATGTCTTAACTGGCTCCTCTCTGTTTAAATCTTGTCTTCCCATTAAGGCCCACGCAATAGTACGATGGCTTAAATTGCAGATCCTGTCTCTTCACTCCTCCAGCAATGCCAGTCTCAGTGCTTCCTGCATTCCTTCTGCTGTTTTCTCTGCTGTCCCTCTTCCTGGAACAAGTCCCAGGGAGCCAGCTGCTCCTTGTTTCTGTGTTCAAACATCAATATGCTCAATTCTCTGCCTTCAAAACTTGGTCTCCTCTTAGAAGAAAGTAACCAAGAATCCTTAAAACTGGTCACTATAACTTGAGTCCTGTGTGGAGCAAGGAATCTAGAGGGTGTTGCAGAGGATCTGGGTTCTTGAATCTGCACCCTACAGCAGGCTGCACATGACTGTCAGATAAACTTTGTGATGACATTAAAGGCATAAAAATAATAAATTGCAGTCACCATTTAGGCTTGTCAGAGGAACGTGCTCACTCACTGCTGTACCTCCGTGATTTGTACCTGAGCTAAGTCTGAGCGCAGCCTCATTCCCAGCAAGGGTGACAGCAGAATTCACAAGAGGCATCTGCAGGTACAGGGCAAGCTGCAAAACCATAGTTATGAAAGCTGCTTGTTTCTATATACTGACCTGTTTTGTTGTTCAGGCTGTTCTCTGGACTCTGATAATATCTTTAAAATAAGTTTGTGGTTAGAAAGAAAACAATAACATTTCTACAGAGACAGTGGATGGAGGATCTTTTTCTTGCTGAGAGACAAAAAGTCCTTCCAAACCCTTTGGCAGTCTAACATATACCTTCACAGTTTTCAGCAGTAATTCTAAAAGAATAGTGTGGTGGTATTGGAAGAACAGCAATGAAATCAAAGGATGTATCTAGATCCCAGGTTGCAGGTTTCCCTGGCATGACTGAATGAAAAAATGATATTTCAAGTTTAAGATGCTTTTTCATTTACCTCAGTATTGGCATTCGTAATGAAATTAAAAGCTAATTTCACCAAACTAAAAGCCAGAAAATGACTTACTTGTCAAATACTCCAGGGGACTGACACGGACAGAGCTCCTGCAAAGCCATTTCTGAGCCATCTTCTTTTTTACCTAAAGAGAAAATTTGATGGCAGTGAAGCTACTTGTGTCTAACCAGGTGACTCACCTATGTGACTATGCTTATCTCCCATGGCTCTGTCTCTTGTCTTCTGTCTTATGCTGGCATCGTCAGTCCTTCAGCACAACAGCCACGGTTTCATTCTCTGACTCCATTTGCTGCAGCACCTCACTCCACAGACAGGCTCCAGCACAACACCGACACGTAGCTGTGCACTGGGGGCAAGATTCCAGAAAGCCCATCTCTGTCAAATTTCCTTGTCACTGAATAAATTGGGAAGGCATCAGTGACTCGTGTTCGCAGGGAAGCTCTAGTCACAGATAGAAAAGACAGATGGGAACTAAGAGGTGTGTAGCTGCAAGAAAGCTCCTGGTTCCTGCTCAGCACAATGTGTGGTGGGAGAGAGGGATGCACTGGGACTCTGCACTCCTGCCTTCCACTCCAGGGCTGTCCCTCTGGCCACCCTGGGACACATGTGTTGCTTATCATCCTTGTGTCTCAGCATCTCTGTTTGCAGAGCAGAATAACGACAGCAGTCTGTTTGGCCAAGGGCTTTGAGATCTAACGGTGGGAAGTGCTGCAGTTACTGGTTAAATCCGTTGCCGCTCGGGCAAACTGCAGACGAACGCCAGCACGGGTACAGAGGTGTCAGAGCTGGTCAGCTGGCCACCAGCTGGTGTTTGAAGGACAGGCCTCTGTAAATGCAGCACCTCCAGTGCCACCTGAAGGTGTTTTGGCTCTTGGTCACATCACCTGTGCAAAACCAGGGATGGCTCGAAGGCAGGACCTCAAGCGCCAGGGCCAAGTGCAGTGAGTGTAAGGAGCCCACTGTGGTACGCTGCTACCAGCAGGGAGTTTGGGCTACCAAGTCCTGCCTGGCCTGAGCTAATTGCCATTAAAATCTTTGCACTGCATTCCCCCGAGCTCAAGGGCATCAAAAACTCCCTATCTCAAGGTAATTCCAATGTGAATGCACAGAGATAATTTGGGTCTGAAGCTACGCCAAAACAAACGAGCATCCTCCCACCCCGGAGCACAGGGTGGCTCAACGCGCAGATCTGGCCGGCTCTGCAGGAGTTAGCTTGGGGCTCCTGGGACTTATTAGCCGCCTCTTCACACCTGCCAGGCCAAATCCAGGCTGACACCACATGCAGTCATGTGGCCTTCTCACCAGTGAATTCCCCAATAGCTGTTTCATCCAAGTTTTTCAGCATCTCTCAGATAAGGGAAGACAAACTGTGTACAAGAGCGACGTAGTATTACTATTTTAACTAGGTATTTAAGACTTAACGTCTAAATTCTGCAACTAAAACCATGACCCGGCATAGGTTCATGCTAGCGCCCGAAGGCAGAAGGCCCTTGTACGTCTCGACAGTAAAATGTCATAGCGTGGAGGGGCTCACCAGCGGTTATCCGAAAGCTCCTCCAGACTGACTAAGAAAGACCTTTCTTGAGAGTGTTACAGCAAAACCCCCTCATGCCCTTGGGTCTCATACTGCATTCTAATGCTGACGCACTAAGTAATAACTCCCGCTGTCACAGCTACTCTGATGTCATCAGGCTCCCAGCTGTATTATCTAACTTTATATAGCACCATTAGTCATATAGCCTTTTCTATATTTGACTGTCTTCGCACTCCTATGAAGTTATTTCGAGTCAGCAAGCGTTAGAAGAACATAAATGTTTACACAGTGGAAAAAACCATAATGATAAGGGGCTGGTTTAAAATAGGGTGTCAGAGGGATACTGTCGGTCTAAAGTTTCACCGGAAAGAAGGGGCAGCCGCTACAATCACGTTCTTCCCTGGGTAATGAAGCTGAACACAGCCACGGATGTTTTCCTACTGAAGATAAACTTTGAGGCAGAACTAAAGCGTGGAATGTAAAATGTGTCAGACACCCTCTTTCTTACCTGATGATAACACACGTGTGGTGGGCAGGCTGAGTGGCCAATGTTTTCCTCCCTTTTCTTGCAGGTGGTTTGCTATCATGGAAATCCAGTTGTTTGTGGTGCTTTTCCTGTACAGATATGAATTTGTAGTTTTGGATGCAGTACCAAAGGAGGTAAAAGATCCATGCATTTATATAGCATTCCATGTCTCTGTATCCTTTCTTCATCAGGCCTAGTGGAGCAACCATGCTCAACTGTGTTTACGTATGATCATAGAATCATAGAATGGTTTGGGTTGGAAGGGACCTTATAGATCATCTATTTCCAACCCCCCTGCCATGGGCAGGGACACCTTCCACTAGACCAGGTTGCTCCAAGCCTCATCCAGCCTGGCCTTGAACACTTCCAGGGATGGGGCATCCACAGCTTCTCTGGGCAACCTGTTCCAGTGCGCCAACCACCCTCTCTGGGAACAACTTCTTCCTGATATCTAATCTAAACCTCCCCACTTTCAATTTAAACCCGTTACCCCTTGTCCTGTCACTCCCTGGCCCTGTAAAAAGTCCCCCCCAAGCTTCCTTGTAGGCCCCAAGAAAGGGGGTTCTACATCATAGAATCACAGAATGGTTTGGGTTGGAAGGGATCTTAAAGATTATCCAATTCCAACCCCCCTGCCATGGGCAGGGACACCTTCCACTAGACCAGGTTGCTCAAAGCCTCGTCCAGCCTGGCCTTGAACACTTCCAGGGATGAAGCAAAATTTTGAGGGGAGTGTTAATAAAACATGTAATGAGTAACTCGATTTTCATTTTAACTCAGAAAACCCAGAGTAACCCCAGCAGTGTCTATACAAGAAAGCTCCTACAAGAGTATTTTGTCACATCACTACCTAAACGTTACAGGATTCTGTAATTGCTTTCTGCCACTTACAAAAACAATGAAAAAGGGAACTGGATTATTAATACTTTGATTGTAACTTGGGTCTGCACCCACAGGCAATTGTGCTGATGAAGATACTCAAAACTGTTAGCGTGTCTTAAGATTTCCTGTGTCATCCTCTCTGAGTGAGTGACATAAAAACTAACCATGGAGGCCCTGCTCAATGGCTTCAGCAAAGCCAAGAAATGCTCTCAGTATCCGTTTGTGGTTCTCCAAGACCAAAGCTCCAAGAATATGTTTATATCTTAATATTAAAGCATGATGATAATTCCATTAACTGAGCCAATTTAAAGGTTTCTACAGATTTTCTTCTTTTTGCAGAGCCCTTTACATTTGGTGGGGACACAACAACCCATGGCACCATTCCGCGTCCAGTATAAATGCCGGGAATGAAAGCTGCCCAGCATTAACTTACCTTCCTTTGCCAGCCACCCCTGGATGGAAAAATGGACCACTGAGCTGCTTCCCTGTATTACATCTTCAGCTTGGTTCTCTGCCTTAAGAGTTCTTACTTCTAGTTTTAAATACCCTGCGTTGTGGTATGCCGTACCCCTACAGTCATACCTGTGCCCCTCACCTGGCTGCCTACCTCCTAGTGTTTAAATACCAAGCTCTCCTGCTGCATTGCTAATTTGTGGGCCTGATTATTCACAGATTTTGCAAATAACATATACTAAACTCACCAACCAGACATTCAGGACAAAAAGCTGCTACGTTTGGAAATCCTGCATGGAAGCTGTGCTAGAACCAGTGGAAAAGCAGGTCCCTTGCACCAGGTCTCCTCGAACCAAGGCCAAAGTGGTGCCTCGTGGTAAGGAGTCACATCAGTAACGCCATATGTGCCTGGGGCTGGTGTGCGCACAACACGGGTCAGTGCTGAGCAGAGGCCTCCGGATCAGATCCGCAGCCACGATAAATGAGCATGTATCACTGCCCGTGTAGGTAAGCGAAGATCCGGCCGCTCCACCTACAATCGAAGCCGACATTTTGCAAATAAAATGCATTTGTAACAGAAAAATGGCAAGCGGGGGAAACACTGAGGGTTTGTCCCAGTGGAGCACCTAAAAACCTGAGCTTTGTTTGCTCTGCAGGACTCAGAATGGGTCCATGCATGAATATGCAATGGGAGTTCGATGGTGATGTTTGTTTACTAATGAGAAGTGACTGCCAGAAAAGCCATTGCTATTCATCAGACTGGTTGTCTTTATCCAGAACATTTCTGCTTTCCCTTTAACGTGAGTTACTCATAGAACAAACGGCACAAATCTAAAAATATTGAATCCTACAAAGAATACCTGGTAAGGGTTGTTCAAAGAAGCTGTCACATAAGTTCAGATACCAACACTTCAACTGCTGTCAGATTTCAGATCCGATGATAGCTGGCATGTATTTTTAGTCTTTTAAGTAAAGATTATTCATCATTTTAGAAGTATTTGCAAAAAAACACAAACGGACTTTTAACAACAGTAAAAACTATGGGAATAACATCCGTAGGAAAATAACACATTGTATAATTCAGTTTTGGGTACAACAATTTAACAAACTTCAGTGATTTATATGGCTGGAAAATGATTCATCCAACTTCTAATTTTGCTCATAGTGGTTAACTCTGAAAGAGTTGCTGCACTCTTAACTGCTGTTTCAGAACCTCTTCCATAACTGAAAACTATTCCCTTGGTTTTCATGCATGATCATTGCCTGAAAGTGTATATTTTAATTTTAAAATTTGGGAATATCCACAATATCTGTTCAGCTATCTTGTAGTTTTGCAGAGATACTATATTTTTTTCCTAATGTGCATTTCTTTTTATTTTTCTGTTAAATTAATTTTGGGTTTGGTTTTCTTTTTGTGTGTGTGGTTTTGTTTTGATTGTTTTTTTTTCCCCAGGAGCTAACTCAACAAAGCAAAATTGTGTAATGGCAAACTTGACTTTAAGCTAAAAGGTCCCTACAGGGAAGCATCAATTTGGTTAGAATGAATAAAAGGCACCTGAAGCCAACTAAAACTGCGAGTATTTGCTGACACACCATGCACACAGGTTCTGATCTCTCCTAAACAGCAGCACAATTCTGCTCGTGCAGTGCCTGCATACTGCTGAGATTTTCAGACTTGGTGTGGTCGTGTGCCTGCTGAGCACCACAGTCTGCTTCCTTCAACATCCTGCAAGAGCAGGCTGTGGACTGTGTTAGGCTCTGAGATGAAAACCACATTCGGCAACGGGAGCAGCTCCCGCTTTTTGGGCACTGAAGGGGGAACACTGCTGGAGGGATGGGACATGTTGTGGGATACAGGGGGGAGCAGCTTGAGGCTGCACAAGACTTCTTATGGGATGCTTAGGGGAGGATGCAAAGGTGGGGAAACGGAGGGATCAGGGTGGGTTGGGATAGAACAAAGGTGGAAACAGAGAAGGATAAGGGGATAAAAGGTTAGTTGAGTGTAAACAGGCAGCTGACCAGTAACTTACAGAATCATAGAATAGTTTGGGTTGGAAGGGACCTTAAAGATCATCCAGTTCCAACCCCCCTGCCATGGGCAGGGACACCTTCCACTAGACCAGGTTGCTCAAAGCCTCATCCAGCCTGGACTTGAACACTTCCAGGGATGGGGCATCCACAACATCTCTAGGCAACCTCCTAGAGATGCCTCACCTCCCTGTATGCAGTTTAAACCCGTTACCCCTTGTCCTGTCACTCCCTGGCCTTGTAAAAAGAACCCCCTCAGCTTTCTTGTAGGCCCCCTTCAGGTACTGGAAGGTCTGGCTATGCCCTGTGCATGACGGGTGCAGTCTGTCCTGCCTCCTTGCTTTCCATTTTCAAATCTTTTCCTGTGTGAGGGTCTCTCTTGTGTGTGTACATGTGGGAATGGGGGTGCGAGTGCAGCAGCTGGAGTGGGACCACAGAGCAGAGGGCTCGTGGGTCTGTGGTGCCAGCAGCTGGATGGAGTGTGGGTGTGCATACTGTGTCGGCACCTTATTTCAGTGTGTGATGGCCAGCAAACACCCAGCCAGACTCGCTGGCAAACAGGGAAAGTGTGTGTGCCTCAGGGTGAGGCAAACAGGGAACCTGGCCCATGGAGGGACCAGGGGGTTCAGGCAAGCTGCCAAAAAGCCTGTGGGGTCAGGGGTCAACTGAGACCTGTTTGTACACGTGTGTGTGCATTTGTGTGTCTCTGGGCAGGAGGCAATGGGGAGAGCAGGATTCAGGACCAGCTGCTGGAGGCATCCACATTGTCTGTGTGTATTTTATCTGTACTTCATACTCACAGACCTTCACCCTCATTTGCCACAGAGGGGAGCAGGACGAGGCCTTTGGTGTTGCTTGTGCAAGCGCCGAGTGTGTGTTTGTCTGTGTCGGCCAGTGGAGCCGTCAGTGTATACACAGGCTGTACGCCTGTGTCTGTGCCGGGGCCTACTGGGAAACCACGCTCAGCCTTGCCGAGCTGGACTCAGGGGTGTGGAGCTGCGGCAGCCTCGCCTCTGTCAGGCTGCCAGATTTAGCAGCTCCCTAGCAGTCTGCAATCAGCCATGAAAATATTTGTCCTGAAAGGCAGGACATGTTTTTAGTAAAGCCTAGGCATTTGGCAGGGTAGAAGTACCTGTTCTTGACAGAGAGATAGCAAGCAAGCAGGTGAAGAAAAGCGACTCTGGGATCCCATCGCGGTGTGACTACCCTGGAGTGGGTGACAGCTCCTGGTGCTTGCCATACTTCCCTTGGTAATAAAAAACAAGGGAGGTGGATTAGTAAAGCAATGGAGTGGTTAAGGGATAGAGCTAAATGGGGTCTTCTACCTGGAAATAACCCCGAGGCTTCTGGGGAAGGCAAAGACATCACTTTTCCACTGGGCCAGGGTTAAACGGGTATTAAAAGGTATTAAAAACCCTGCTCAGGGCTGGATGATCAGTATCTAAATTATTCTTCCTCAGATGTTTGTCCAGTCTGTTTTTAAATACACCAGTGCTGAATCTCCATGGAGGATTTGTCCTCTCACCTGAGTCTCCCTACCATTAGAGAGCTTTCCTACTGGTCTTATTCATAGAATCACAGAATGGTTTGGGTTGGAAGGGACCTTAAAGACCATCAGTTCCAACCCCCTGCCATGTGCAGGGACACCTTCCACTAGATCAGGCTGCTATTCATATCACTACCACAAGGGTGTAGGAAGCAGGAGATTTTTAAACACATGGATTAAAAAAAAAATGTGTATTTTGACCTATCGTGTTTCTGCCTTCTGTATGAAGCATGGATGTTAAAGGGAGCAGAGTGGGGCATCCCTCCAAAAACATCTTTGACAAGGCAGTTGTTTCTCCTCCGGACATGCCCTAAGCCAGGTCTATCTGAGCAAAACCCACAGTTTGGGCTGGCCAGGAGGTGACGTTGGCATTCATTTCTCTTGGAATAGTGAAAGAAATGGTAGGAGGCTTCCTAATGAGGGAGGGGAAATCTAGAGCTATGAGAAATGAGCAATAAACCTCTTTTTAATCAAACCTCCTTTAATAATTTTTGGACTTTATCATATAATAAAGAAGAGTTTCAGCAAAAAACCCACAGAAACTATCACACTGCGGCCAAACCCGTTTTGGTACTTTTGAGGCAACTATAAACATTTTCCCTGAAATAATAACTTTCCTGTGGAAATATAACAATTGACAGAATACTCATCAGCACATTCTGAGTTAAAACTGTTGACCTACTGCCATTCAGCGTGGTGAAAAGATAACCCGTGGTATCAGCAGCCACCTCCCAGAATACTCACAACTTCTTTTATGTCCTTGCTCTAACGAGCCTCAGTGAAGGCCCCTCTCAGCTGTACTTAGCAGTCAAGTATTTCAAGTGGTCTCTTTCTTTGCACTAGTCACGGTATTCGGTATCTTTTCGGGGCCGCCGATTGTCACAGAAAGCAGAAGTTTAGGCTTAGCACGTATACTCCCTGAAAATAGACAGCTGGGGACTGAAAGATACGGCGTAGCCGTGGAGAGGTAAGCTAAAAATAAAGACTTCCTTACGAAAAGAAATGAACTCTAAGGCCCCAGCTCTGTGCTTAAGCACTGTGCCAAGCAAAACTCGACTTAAGCATGTGTTTTGCTTTAAGCAAACACTTAGAATGGATTTGCAGAATAAGAAAGGATTTCAGCTTAAGCACACGCTTAAGTGCTTTGCTGAACCAGGGTCCAAATGCCTTAGCTGCTAACCTGTTGTTTACAGTTAGCCTTGGCATCTCTGTTGTAATTTTAAAGATCAAAGGTTAGTGGAAATACTGAGGTGGCTTTGGTCATTTTAGGTGCAAGTGGCAAATGTTAAGGGCTTTAGGAAAACACTTTTTTTGAACAGTCACATTTATAGCATGAACCAGTAGGGCTTTGCTGGCAGCAAGCATCTTTCCCATTTATTTGGTA